GCCATGTCCAGATCTGCTTTTCTCTGCCACACTCTTCTGCCACCATGTCCTGCCTCACCTTGGGCCCTGAGGAGTGAAGGTGGCCATCTATGGACTAAGAGCTCTGAAAAAGAGACCCAAAATAAACTTTTCCTCCTTCAAATTGTTCTTCTCAGGTCCTTTGGTTTCAGAAGTAAAAACACTCACTAAACCTCCTCTTCCTCCTTCTCCTGCATCTGTTATATCCTTTGTTTATCTTATAGGCTCACAACATTTTGGTCCTAAAACCTCATTCTTTACTTAGTTAGTTTTCTTTCCTCTCTTTCCCACCTAAAACCAACTATCTTCTCCTTGCTTTCCCTACCCCACACTCAAGAGCACCAGTCATATATTTTGTGTGATCCAGGGAAAAACGAATATGTGAAGCTTGTGTTAGTCATTCCAGCATCCATCACAGCATGCCATAGACTGGGTGGTTTATAACCACTAGAAAATTATTTTTCTGGAGTCTGGAATGTTGAAGATCAAGATAGGTTTAGTTTGTTGCGGGACCTACATTTAGGTTCATCAAAGTCACCTTGAGAATATTTCTTCACATGATGGAAAGGTAATTTGGTCTCTCTGGGGTCCCTTTTATAAGGCACTAGTCTCATTTCTGTTGTTGAAACAACATGACCTAATCACCTACCAAAGGCCCCAGTTCCTAATACCATCACGTGGCTGGTTAGGATCCCAATATCAAATTTGAGGAAGACATAAATATTCAGATCATAGCAGGTCTGTGTTCAAAAGGTAAGGGTGGGAGTGCTTTGAAAGGTATTAAAATACAAAACTGTTTCATTTCTATGGAAAGTTATGTGTCTGTGTTTTTATTTAGTTTCCTAATGTTGCATCCCTTGGGCACAGGGATACTCTTAGGATGACTGCAGAAACTCTTAAGCACCTGGGGGTGGGGGAGGGCTCACTCCATGGTGACATGTAAGCTACCCACTGGATACCTGGTTGCTGCTGCCCCAGCTGCTCAAATGATTCTTACTGCTGCTAGACTGAATGGGTAAAATAATTTCCATTTCCCCAAAAGGTCACCCCAACACTTGGCACATGAATAACTGTATGGGCTCTCTCTCATCCAGCAAGGAGGTGCCTGGAACAGGGTAGAGGAGAGTGTGGCTGCAGAGTTGCTAATCAAGACCTCTGGAGACCAAGCAGGAAGCAGGTCTGATTTTATTGTGCAGTTACCATGTATATATACTCAGGCAGTAGCTAAGCAGGTTACAGGCAGCCACCAATACAATTTCTGGCCAACTGTCTGTCCTTGCAGTGACCAATTAAGGAGTGGGCCATGGAGTAAGCTCAGGGTCTGCAACACTCGGCCTCATGCCCAGGGCTGTGCCTATGGGATAAGCAGTTTGCTGCTACATACCTAGCACTGGGGAGTGGTTTGCCATTCAGAGGCCCTCAGTGTATGCCAGGTATGCAGTACTCCATGCACTTTTCCCTACACGTAACCACCGAGAAATTGGAACCAAATCATATGGAGATGCATGTGGTAATTGGAATAAGAACATGCAAGAGGCTCACCCTGACTAGTTACGAAACACCTTGGTATAGATTCTGGATGGGAGAGCTGCACCTATGTTCTCCCCACTCTGTTGGATGCATGTCCCATTCTCCCTTTGTGCCTTCAAGGCATGAAATAGTGGCAGAGGCTGATGGCACAAGGGGCCTGTCTATTCCCTGCAATGAGACCTGGTCACTGCAGTGGTGACAGGATGGAAGTGGAGAGGCAGAGAGTGCCTCTTGGCAAAGGCCCAGAGAGTGGGGAGCAGGTGGAAGAGTGCTGTGCATACAGATTAGGTTGTGAGAGGAAGAATCTTTCATGAGATAAGGAGGCTCCTATGAGCTCCCATTCAAGTTTCATTAAACTTCACTTATGAAACACAAAATCAAAAAAGTTACTATAACATTCAAGGTGGTGAACACAGAGAATTAAATATGTTACTGGAGTGGCTGCATGCCCCATGGAGCCAGCCTTGGATGCATGATCCACAGACTCAGTAATTGGTACTGTTGTAGAGGACAATCATAGGGGCTTCTTAAAAAGGAAATAAAGTAACTGGTGATGTCAGAGATATGAATGTGGTGGAGTGGGGGATGGGTAGGGAAGAGAACACATGGGGAATGAATTCAAAATTATTACAATAACAAAAAATGCTTCAGATACCAGATTCCATACCTAGGAATAAAAGAAGTGTTCCTTGTGGTAAGGGACTTTTCAGAGCCACATGAGACTTGTTCCATAGCAGTTGAAATAGGGGAAGATGAACAGGATGGAAGTTTGACAATGAGAGAAGTTGGAAGACTGGGCAGAGAGTCAAAATAGCAGGGGAAAGAGGAAACTGAGTAGGTGCTCAGGGTTTTGGGAGGGAGCAGATTGTCTTTGTTTCAGGCAGAAAAGTTTTGTCTTTTGGTTGAATAAGGAAGTCAGAAGAGAGGTCTGTGGGGTAGGTTTATTTAGAACAGAAATCAAACGACGACTTCTCTCAGAGAAAGAAGTAGCATCTGCAAAGGCCATGCTGTTCCTGCTACTCTCCTTTCTAGCTGCTCTCTTCCCAGGAGGGGACAGTGAATTTGGTAAGAATTGTAGTAAGAGATCTGTTGTGTGCAAGTGTGTGTGTGTGTGTGTGTGTGTGTGTGTGTGTGTTTGTGTGTGGTGATGGCAGTTTCCCCTGCACAAACCTGGAGAGAACGAGGGCCAAGCTGGCCCCATTCTGCGTGTCCTTACTCAAGCCCTCTGTGCTCTCATGGAGGATATTGGTAGAGCAGGGGACCCTGGGGGCCAGCAGACGTCAGCTAAAGTAACGGTGGCTTTCCACTTTTCCAGATTCCGAGTCTTCCCACTCTGACACCTACTTTCCCAAATCTGTTTCTCCCAATGCTTAAGTTCTCCCTATTCTATCTACTCTTGATACAGGATTTGAAGAGCCTGTCTCCTTTCATCTCCTCCAGACGTCATCGTTTCACAACCATTCCTGGGTACATCTGAGCTCAGCTTGGTTTGGTGACCTGTAGACACACAGATGGAACAGCAGCTCTAATACCATCATTTACCTGTATCCCTGGTCCAGGGGCAACTTCAGTAACAGGGAGTTGGTGGATCTGGAAAGGTTTTTCCGGGTAAACTTCATTGAAATTCAGGAATCTTACACTAATTATTTCATGTCTAAAGGTGAGTTCACTTCCCTTGCTGAGGAGAATAAAGGGATGAGGGTGGGGCATCTCAGTGAACTTTTATTCCTCAGGTAAACAGCCTTCTCTGTTCTGAATCTTACTCTACTCTCTTCAATATAAAACTACAGTCGCACCCTGGACATGTGTGATAAACACAACCAGATTCTTCAAAAACTTCAGTTTTTGTCGCTTATGAACTGCTCTCTCATTAAATGGAACTGTGTTTTATTATGTAACCTCAGAAGTAATCTGTGGCTACCCTTTTCCTGGTTTTTAATTCAGTTTCCTCATTCTTTTGTTGACTCCTTAAAGCATGATTTTCTCTCCCATTTAATCTCTTCATTCTTCCCTGTCTAAACTGTCAAAGAAATGATTAAGTCCTTCTCCTTCACAAAATCACTATCACCTTTGAACAATCCCTTCCCTTCCTCATATTATCATCTCTTCCTCCACCTCCAGCTCCTACCAGTAGCCTTTCTGTGAACCTCTGATCAAACACTTCTGCTTCCATTGTCTTTTGCTTCCATCTAATTCCATTTTCTCAGTTTCTTCCTTTTCTTCTCTAAATCATCACTCTTCTTCCCCAGGTATCTTTGATCTACAGGTGGCAACAGGCTGTGAACTGCACTCTGGGAAGGGCTTCATAAGCTTCCTGCATGTAGCTATCCAAGGATCTGATTTCATGAGCTTCCAGAATGAAACATGGTCACCATCTCCAAAGGGTGGAAGAAGGGCCCAGAAAGATTGCAATATACTCAATCTGAATGAAGCCTACAAACATAGGGTATATATGCTCCTCACTGACACCTGCCCACGTTTCACCTTGGGTCTTCTAGATGCAGGGAAGGCTCATCTCCAGCAACAAGGTCAGTATTGTACCTAAATTTCCAAGAATTTTTATGTTTTGAAGTCAAATTTAGGATACAAAGAGATGAGGATACTGAGTGACATTTCTAGAAGTGGGAAAGATGTATCTATAGTCTCATGTGGAGTTATGAACCTCTCAATGCATGTTAGAGTCTGTGTCTGGATGTGTTTTCTGTTGTTTGCAGTGAAGCCTGAGGCCTGGCTGTCCAGTGGCCCCAGTCCTGGGCCTGGCCGT